TTAATTCCTTAATAAATACACATATCAAAGAAAACTTCAAGTGTGCAGGCATCATTTTAAATATCTTGTGTGATTATAATATTCCCTTCCCACTAAGGACAATTTAGCTATACGGTTGGAATTACTGTGAAAAGTCTGCCAGGTGTGACCTGGAAACTCTACACCAAAAAAGACAAGAGTTGTGATGAACTTGAGGATGTAGACATGATTAGCTGCAGTTAGGATCATCTCCAGGGAAAGAGCATGAGTAAATCTTCTAAAGAATGTACCAAATGGAGCAAGATTTGTGACCGTGGGCTGTCAATATTGAAGAATATTTAGCAGAGACTGGAGTTAGGGCCTGGATAGTCTGGAATGTATTCCTCCCAGCACTCATCACTCCATATGGGGACTGTTCCACACCTTGGGATGGATTCACCTCCTCTGGCAGCTGATAAGGAAAAGATTAATTCTCTAGCCAGATGGCAATAAGATCACAGACACCTTGGGTACAGAAATTTTGAGGCAACATGCCACAGCACATTCAGGGAAATATTCTGTGTATTCTGGTTTCTTGTGGGTAAGGTGAGCAGATGAGTGCCAGGGACTTTCTGTAAGTGTTAAGTGCCCCAAAGTCTCAGGAGGTGTGTGACACATTCTAATGTCAGGGTTTTCAGGAAGGCAGTGTATCAGAGAGCCCTGCTGACTGGTAGCAGCAGCAGCAGCAGCCCCAGCTCCTCTGGGGGAGCAGAGGAAAGGGAGCTGCAGGGAACAGAAGTAATATCTGAGCTGTTTATCAGAATACCAGACATGTACTTTCTGGTTGATTTGAGCATTAGCTGCCTGGCTTGGGCTTGGTTTGGTGTTTTTTTTTTTTTTTTCCTGAGTCCTTTTGAGAAACATTTTCTTTATGACTCAAAGAACACTTTGATTATCTTGAATGTGTCTGAAAGGCACCTGGACTGTTACCTTGTTGCATTGGAAGTGAAAAAAAGGAAAACTAGGGGGAGCAAATAATTTAGTTATAAAATATACTTTGATTAATTTTTTGTAGGTAATGTCAACTCTTTTTAGATTTTAGGCACTAAAGTCAATTATTTCCTTTCCCTTTGAAGATTTTTAGATTGTGTCCTGAAACCTTGGCTATGCTTCATGGAAGTTTGCTGCTTTCATTTTAATTGAACTATTAGATTAGAAAAATCTTATAGGATGAAGTGTATGTTAGTTTACCATTCCCCCTTGTCCTACTGCAGAATGCCCCCACTGAAAAAAATTTGTTTACATCTTTCTTACAGGCCTGCTTTAAGTACTGAAAAGTCACAATCAGGTGTCCCTGGGACCTTCTCTTCTCCAGGCTGAACAAATTTTACACACCTTTCCAATTCCCAGAGCAGGATGTTGTGGGTGACTGTGTCAAAGGCTTTACAGAAGTTCAGATAAATGACATCATTGCCTTGACCACTGATGTAGTCACTTCTACCATAGAAGGCCACTGGGTTGGTCAGGCAAGTTGTGTCCTTGTTGAAGCCGTGCTGGCTGTCCCAAATCACCTCCCTGTCCTCCACATGCCTTAGCACAGCTCCCAGGAGGATCTGTTCTGTGATCTCCACAAGCACAGAGGTCAGGCTAACAGGTCAGCAGTTCCCAGGGTCCCCTTTTCTCCCATTTTAAAAATGGGTGCAATGCTTTCCTTCTGCCAGTCACCAAGAGCTTCACCTGATTGCCATGGCTTTTCAAATATCATGGAGAGTGATTTGACAACTCCATCAGTGAATTCCAAGACTGGGATGCACCTTAGCAGGTCCATAGACTTATTTATATTCAAATTCCTCAGGTGAGGAAAAAACCTGATCTCTCTTTTTTACTGAGTTTACTAAGTTCTTATAGTTCTTAGAGTGTTCCACTTCTACCAGCAGAAGGCAAGTTGAAGACTTAATTATAATTAAGTATGGAAACGGAGGGAGGTGTTTGCTTTATTATAAAATACAGTGCTCTGGCATGTACCTACTCCTGCACATCTGGACTGCAGTCTGTGATGTGGCAGCATATTTCCTAACATACATAAGCCATGTGTTCCTAACACAGTTAAGCATGTGTACTAGGTTCTGCTGGCACTCAGGAGTTGGAATTGTGATGCTCACATAAAATGACCTTTGCAAGACAACAGCTGTGAGCCTCCTTCTCCACAGTTTTTACCATCAAAAATGGTCTTTAGGAATCCCATGCCACTGATACCTGTAAAAAAGTCCAAATCAATAAAAACTTAGTGATGAAGAACTAGGCTACAGAGCACTTAGGTAAACTGGACACAGACAAGTCCATGAGACCACATAGGAAACACCCACAAGTGCTTAGCATAGCTGTGGAGGCTGGGTGGTTGCATTCTTAGTTATCCTTAAAAAGGTCATGGCAACTGGTGAAGGTTCCTAATCATGTGGGGAAAAAAATGTCACTCCTACCTCTAAGAAAGACAAGCAGGAGAACAGAGAAGTTACAGGCTGGCCAGCCTTACCTCAAAGCCTGGAGCAAATCCTTTTGAAGCCATTTCCAGATATGAAGGACAGGAAGGTGACTGGTTGTAGTCAACATGGATTTCTGAATGGTACATCATTCCTTGGAGTGCTAATAGCTTTCTATAACGACTTGAAAGGTTAGTGAATCAGGGAAGAGCAGTGTATATCTCAACTTTAGCAAGGCTTTTGTTAGTGTCTCTCACAACATGGTACAGACCAGCTAAATGGGCTTGGAAAACTGACTGAATTGCAGTGCTCACAGGGTTGTGATCAGCAGCACAAAGTCTAGCTGGTGGCCAGTCACTACTGCTGTACTACTGGCACAGGTACGGGTCAGTACTCTTTAACATCTTCATTAATTACCTGGATGATGGGGACATGGTGCACCCTCAACTAATTTGCAGGAGATAAAAGACTGGGAGGAATGGTTGATGCCCTAGAGAGTTTCCTGATATTCAGAGGGACAAGGAAAAGCTGCAGAAATGGGCCAACAGGACCTCACTGTGTTCAGGAAAGGGAATGCAGTGCTGCAACTTGGAAGGAACAAACTGGGAGACGCCCAGCTGGAATGCAGATTTGCAGAAAAGGTCGTGGGGCTCCTGGTGGACACCAGGTTAAACATGAGCCAGCAACATGCCCCTGCAGCAAGGGCAGCCAATGGACTCTAGGGCTGCATTAGGCAGAGCATGGCCAGCAGGACGAGGGAAGGGATCCTTTGCTCTGCTCAGAACTGGTGAGACAGACCTGGAATGCTGAGCCCAGCTCTGGGCTCCCCAGTATGAGAGAGACATGGACTTATTGCTATGGGTCCAGCAAAATGTTATTAAGGTCATTAAGAGACTGAAGGATCTGTCATACGAGTGGCTGAGATTGCTGAGGCCACTCAGCCTGGGGAAAAATGATTCTGGTGAATCACAGCCATGTGCATGAATAACTGATGAGGTGTAAGTAAAGAAAAGGTAGCCAGATTCTTCTCAGTGGTGCCTAGTAACAGGAAGAGAGGCGGGGGGGACAAGCTGAAACCCATGAAATTCTACTTAAGCATAAGAGAAGCAGTTTGCTGTGAGGGTGACTGCACACTGCACAGGTTGCCTAGAGAATCTGTGGAGTGTCCATCTCTGGATATATTCAGAGTCTGATGTGGCACAGTCCTTCTATAGCTGTTCCTGCTCTGGGACAAGATGGACTATGGGGACTGGGTGATCTCCAGGAGTTCCTTCCAGCTTCAATGATACAGTGACTCAGTATGTCTGTGTGTAGAGAAACACATTGTTCAAGGTGCCTAGCTAGTAGAAATACCACCAATTCAAAGGAACAAAAATGATAATATGGAGGGAAAATAGCACACTATTTGTCTTGGTTTCAACTTGGTATTGGAAATGAAAACGCATTTGCAAAATAAAAAGGAAGTGTTTTAAAAACAATTCTTGTAAAAAACCTGAGTTGAACAACATACCTCATTGGAATTTAACAGCCTCAAAACATGTTACTGTTGTAGTTTATATTTCCAAAACCAACATGATTGTTTCCTTTAAGGTGGGTAGTCTAGCACTCAGGAAGTTGACAATGGACTAATTAGTTTATTCTTTCATTTTACGAAAAAGAAAGTAATAATGTTTCCATCTTTTATAAATAAAATTCAGACCTGAATTATAAACCGTATGGGGATATTTATATTCTCTGCACTGACATTTTTTCATTTATAAGGAATATGCTGTGATTAAAATAGTAATGGCAAAAGAAAGAAGAAAATACTTGATACTCAATGCTTGTACCAACTTCTGTGTCACTGAAATTCAAGCCTTTAGCATGAATCCTTTTTTTATTCTGTTGAGAACTCCTGTTTATTTTGTCACACCTAAAAAAAATCAAGAAGGCTAATAGGCAACTAATTAAATATTAAGTCCCCATTCATTCTGCCACACATATAACAGCAAAGGTGGTGGGAGGGAAGAGAATACAAATAGCTGTTTAATGAAAGCTATCTGTTCAAGCCAGAACAGATATTGCTAAAATATTTGGTTATGGCAAGCCAGACACTTCCAGATGAGGTGCAGGAAGAGCTGCTGTGGACTGGAGTCAATGTGAAAAGTTTCCCTTACTGGGAATTTATTTCAGTGGCAAATGTTTGCCTACGGAGTGGAGGAAATGTGGAGAGATAACCTTTTAAGTTCTGGATGAAGGGAGAAGGGAGAGAGGAGTGGTTGCAGTGCTAAAGTATATTCTGTGCTGGTACTGTGGATAAGAAAAAAGCCCTCACTCAACTCTCTTGTCAATCTCTAAATGCAAGGATGTAGTTCTGTGTGTTTACGTAACAACTTGCAATGAAACGGGGTTAAATAAATTAGTGTTGATAATGCTTTCCTTTTGATCAAAATTTACATCAACTGTTTGGGAAAACTCACTTTCTACTTGTTTTCAGCCACATCTGTACCAGATTGTACGGAGGCTGAGGGATCTGTACTTTTGTTTCAATGTGAATTGCAACATTTTTATTGCATTCCACAGGTCCTCCAGTAAACGTTACTTGCAATATTTTTATCAACAGTTTTGGATCAGTCACAGAAACCACAATGGTAAGTGCTATGATGCCGTTGGCAAGAGAACAACAATACTTAATATATGTCATGAACACAACCTGTCAATTTTTCTATTTATTGTTCAACTTGCAGGTCCTCCTGTAAATGTTACCTGCAACATATTTATCAACAGCTTTGGTTCAATAGCAGAAACTACAATGGTGAGTGGGACTGATCATTGAAGCCATCTTGTGAAGGAGTGCGATGTGATGTAGAATAGAGATGCTCAGGATGTGCAGACATTTACTAAGTTATGAAGCTACTAAAAACCTACTAAAAACCTGAGTAAAAATAACATAAAATAAAATAACAAAATAAATATAGAAAAAATATATAACACACCTACATGGGGACTGCACCACAGTCTTTAGTGACTGTGATGGCAGCAAATATAGGTGTGTGCAGACCTACTTTCTCAGGTTTCATTAGCTCTGAAGAGGCAGAGGAATGGCTAGAGCTCAGCTGTGGGTTTCCCTGCCAAGTGCGCCATATTTGAGTGTGCTTTAGACCACATGCTGAATCACCTGCTGCTGCAGAAAATGGTCTTGTTTAACAGAGATAGATCTCTGTGAATTGCAGCCACATCAGTCACAGAAGCAAGTGTAAAACTTGAGTCAAATGACTAGAACATGTGGGTATAAGACTTAGGTATTTTGAGGTTAAATTAGTACTAGGAAATGATGGGATTCCACCTGACTGAACTTTGTCTTTTGACTGAATGCAAAGAACACAGTCAAAAAAAAAAAGGTCACATTTTAATTTTAAAAATTTCAAAATATAGGATAACCAAAATCAAGCTAAGAAAAAAATAAAATCAAAATGTTCAAAATGTTTTTTTTTAAAAAAAATCTTTTAGTCTAGAAGTCTATCAGTCTATTAACTTTTCTCAATATTTGCTAAGAAAAAAGCCTTCAAAACTTTTCTGATTTCATTTAAAAAGATGCTGAGTTTTTTAATCTTTTTCAAAAGTGAATAAAAAGGATCTGGGTTTTATTCAAGCTGACATACTCCTGACTATGGGAGTTAATCCACAGATATATTTTTGACAAATTTATCATAATAATGTGATTAAACCCATAATAATTTTTAGGTGCTCATATCTGTGGTACTTTTGAAGTATACTTTCAGTATAGCTTCACAGCTCTGTTTTCCAGAGGTTCCTACACTGCACCCAGGTTTTTCTGGATTTGCTGAAGCCAGAGGCAATGAAGGTGCTTGGCTTCCTGTAGGACTGAGAACTTGGTAATTAATAATGGATTGCTGCGCACTTGAAGTAAACCAAAAAAGTAGCTTTTTTGTAAGATGGAATAGATACTGCCTTGCAGGCCTTGCATTATGAAGGAAGATCTTTAGCCTGACTTATGTATTTTGTTTAATATTAATTTAGATTCAATTGTAACTCAAGCCATCATTTTAGTAAGTGGTGATTAAAGAATGTAGGAACACAAATCTTCTGCTCCTAAACAATTTTATTTAAAAAACCCACCCTGTTACTTAATGTTTTCTAGAGATAGAAGGCAAGTTATTGCTAGGCTGGCTTGCTTTCTTCAACAGTGTGGGAAAGACTTTGCTATAAATGACAATGCATACAGAACTACAAAAACAGACAGATAAGTTAATGCTTTAGACTATGTATCTGTAATACTTTAAAAACACCTTAAAAGAAAACTAAAATAGCTTTTAAAATGACAGGGAAATAAACAAACCAGAATGTTACATAATTATCAACAGACTTAATTTTCATTATTTTTGGAAAACATTAATTTCTTTCCTGTGTTTTAAGGATTCAGAGAAGATAGCTGTGAATGTAACATTTTTACCCAGCCACGTCTGTTGATCCTAGTGTGTAGAGACATCAGCATAGCATTAAGTAGCAAAATCTTGCACGTCACTAGCTTTACAAGATGGCATTCAATGAAAATATTTGCACGACCCAATGCTGATTGCATTAATTAGACTCCTTCATTGCTTTGATTAAATCCCCTCATTGCATTTTACCTTCTATCAAATATGTTAATGTGTACCCTTCCAATGTTCATTAACACATTTTGCTGAAAACAGCCAAACTTTCAAGTAGATGACAACAAAGACTATTGGCTTTCTTATTTTGCTTTGTTCATTATATCTGCTGAAAGTGTGGAAAGATTTCTCTAAGATGCTGTTCACTTATTTGATATTGATTTTCTTAATGTTGTCACTTCTTTAATGACTATTGTGACTAGTTTTAGGAGTCTGCTCTGAGAGGCAGACATCAATTGCTGTTCCAACTACTTTGCCTTTCTGAAATACATATAATTGTGTGGTAAAATTGTTGGCATCCCTTGTGATAAATAACAAGTTTGTTTGACTCCTAGGAATCATTTTTCCCTATAAAATGCTCTTGATGGTTTTGACATAAAACTAAGTGATTAATTTAAAAACCTGGATTGCAAATTCAATAGAGACACTCCTGTCTCAGAGGAGAGGAATGCTTAGTGAAACCATGTATATACACTGAAGGGACATTATCAGAATATAACTTGGACCATCTACAGCAGTTCATTGGGAACTTGGAAGATGAAAATGTGCTCAGGGAAGCTTTCAGGAGGAGAAATTAACATGGCAAACAGGATTACAGTCCCAGACCTACTAATTTCACTAACATTATCAGGAGTAGTTTCTATCCTCTGATTAAGACTCACAGTACAGGATAAAATTTCTCCCTATGTGAAAGGCCAGCACAACTCCAATATCCAGCACACTCTTCTAAAAACTAAAACTTTACATTAAGAAATAAACCTGGGATTTTATGCTGATCCAGATGGATGAATTCCAAAGACTCTTCATGAGTTTTATTCCCAAAGATCTAGAGAAACAAAATGCAGATGTAACAGTCTTTCTGCTCTATAATACACATATGGGACAGTATCCCAATAGATTTTTTTTTTCCTAGAAAATAAATGGGTTTTTTTGTTTATTAAATGATATATGTTATACCAAAATGAAAATAGTAAAAAAAAAAAAAAAAAAGGCCAGCGTAAGGATGACATAGTTGAAAATTTTCTTTGATTTGTCTTTAATTTAAGCCCTAACTTGCAAAGAAAGAGAAAAAGATTTTTCTGAATAACTTCACTGAATAAAGGAGTTATGAGAGTAAACTCTGTATCTATTTTTGGAAGTATTTACACATGCAGTATTCAGCAGAAAATTCACTGTACAGCATGACTGCAGTTGAGTATCACAGATGAGTAATCTACATCAGCCTGGGCAGCATCCCAAAGAATTCGGATGTTCAGTGTTCCTAATGACCAGGATTTTTTAGCTATCAGCTGTAGGAGAAGTTAAGAGAGGTTTGAAAATTGACAAGCTAATTGTTAATTATGAAAATGACTGTGAGGACATTCTTATTGTTGCTGTGCCCTATAGTCAATGACTGGCACTATGCAGCAGGTTCTCTGTTAGGGTAAATGATCCAAACTCCAGTTGTGTTTTGAGTACTTATGTTAGCAGAAAAAATTGCCATTTCTTAATTTGACAAGCTTTGCTGTGGGTGGCTGTATGATACTCTCTCCCATTTAGAGGGAAAAACCCCATCATTACAAATAAGCTTATTAGATCCTGGTTAATTCACATGTATACTTTTAACTAAATAAAAGGCTCCCACTGAAGCCACTGGGGACACACTGCATGCTTATACCCATAAGTAGTAAAGTGCTTTTTCTGTTGCATGGCCTTGGAAAAGGTCATCAAACCACTGCTTTTCAGTTAGCATTTATCTTTAGGATTTAGACAGAGAGAGAGAGTAGTCTTTTTTGGCAAATGCCTCCTATTCATGGAAGGCCAGCTAATTCTGCCGTTTGCTTCAGACCTCCAACTCAACTCCTGGGCAATCACTGCTGTTGGAGGGGAAGCTGGGAGGAAAGCTCAGACAAGTGGGGGTTCAGAGACAGAAAGTGGCACTGAGCAGGGCAGGGGGCTCCCCTGCACTCCTGCCACAGCAGTGCCTGGGGCCAAAGGGATCCAGGGCTTTGCTCTGTGAATCTGGATTTACATATGCTGAAAAATGATATCTATCTACATTCCTATAACACAGATTAAGTATATCTGTGGATCAAGTCCCTAAATCTTCAGATAGAGCTACTAAATCTAATCAGATTAATATTCTTTCAGTATGTTTGTATTGCTGCGAGCTCATGGCTTGAGAACATAGGAAAATTGTTTATCTGAGTTGCCTTGAGCTAGTGCTGACACTGGTAGTGCATCTGAGATTGAATCTTCAGGTCCACACTTCTTGTTCAGTGGTGGTGCTGTCAGAAAGAATTTGCAGAGTAGGTGTACTTGTGGTTGTGTAGGAGTGCTTTACTACAGCACACCCACTTCCACCCTCAGGACCTCGCCAGATACACACTGTAGTGTGCCTCAACTCCATGTTGTTCTACTATTCTCAAGAGAATTTTCCTTCAAAACATAGTTATAGTGGTAGCTCAGGAAAAGTAAATCAAAATTCTGCACATGATTCGGTCTGACTGTGTAAACACACATCCCTCTCAACTGCTTATACAGCAAGCAAAGGAGGAAAAAGTAATGCTGTTCTTGTGGTGAGCATGTTATATTTAAATTTTTATATCTCATTAAAATATCTATACATATATATACAAAGCCTATCAGATATAAACAAAGTTTTCAGTTCTGTTTTGCTTCTAACAACAAAGCTTGCAGAGGGAAAGCATTTCTAAGTGTATTGGTGTGATGACTCTGACAAATTTATGAAGGGACATATTGAAAAATACAGGGTAATCTTATTGGCACTATTTATGATTTTGGTATAATATATATTATCATGTGAAATCCCTTCTATGAATAAAGATTTTTCCAGACTGTTTTTTATTATCTAAATCACCAACCACTGAAATTCATCAAAGCAATTTTTTTAGATATTTCTATATAATTTACTGATCTGACTTACTTATGATTTCTATGTAATGGGGGAAAAAAATCCCTCTGTTTACCATAGACTTCATTATATATCAAATCACAATGAAGAATTAAAGGCAGTCTCACAACTAGTTGTAGCAATTTTATTCTGTCAGCAGTTGCTCCTGCCTTCTTTTCTGTAGAATTCAAGTCAGTGCATTCCTGGATTTATAACTAAAGCTGTCCCATATAAACTCTGAGACTCATATATACTTAAAGATAAATATAAGCTTAAAGACACATTATAAACATAAGAAACTCTCAGTTTCTAATACCAAGAAATAAGGGATGGTATGATTATGGATGGTGTATCCTCACAAGATGTGATGACATTTTATAAGCTCAGAACTGCAAGTAGCTATTTGATATTTAAATGTCTGAAACAAGAACAACATAAAAAGTACAGTGACTTGTAAAAAATAGGTACAGGCTTTTGTAAGTATCTTTAATAAATGCTATTCCTGAGACCTCTCTCAGGTCTGTCTTGCTCTGATTAGTCAACATTCCTGTTTGGAATCACATCTACCCAAGAGCAAAAGGAAAATGAAAAACAAAGAAAGAAAAGTTATCCACCTACTGAGATTGTAAAGCATCTTCCTATTGGGTTCAAAATCTGCATCAGTTTGGATGTCAGAAATATTCTGCCAGGGCAGCAGCACACCTCACTGGCACCCCATGGAGAAATGGGGGCGAAAGCTGAAGCTCGGAGGGGCTTGTTCAGAGTCTGCATACTGGGCAAGCTGCTTTCTGCAGCTCTGATCAGTGAGAACATTTATCTACATTTCAAGGGTGATAACTTCTTTTCTATGCAGTTCAGGTACCTGACTAAAACCCAACCAGCTCATACATTTTCCAAGTCAAAAGCACAGTGTTGCCATTTTAATGTGCAGCTGCAAATCCTAAATGTTAATGCTTTGTAGTATCAGCAGAATTACTTGATAAAGAATTCCTTCAGATAATACAATCAATACAAATATTATTAAATATTTTTCTTTTAGATGAAGAGTAGATGGTATTTCTAAGAGAGTGCTCATAAACAAATTAAAAATGGTAATTTCAGAGAGATTAAGATCTTATTTGTTGACTTTGGAAACCTGGGATATGGAGACTAAGCATTTCTTTCCACTCCCTGCAGAGAATTTAGAACCTGAAAGTTCTTTTCACACTCCCCTTTAATAACCAGTTGTTGACACAATGTTAATGGTGGTTCTAAATGAACCTGTAAGTAATTGCTGCCTTTCCCACTTGTGACTAGCAGACCACCAAGCAGAAGAATACAATCAGGCCAATTTTAATGGGATGAAGACAGGGAGGAGTAAATGAAGGAACATACACAGAATCATACAGTGAATAGGAAAAGGAAACAAGTAGTAAATAAGAAGTGGTGATTTAATTTATTTTATACAATTTTGGCTTCACTGGAATTAAAAACTATTCATGAGTACATTAGACATAAATGACTTACATATTAGAATAAATTTATTTAAATTGGTAATTTTCTAGCATCTTTGATGAAATTGTATATATTTAGCTGCAATATCTCTTACAAATATCTCTTAGGTAATCGACAACATTTGAAATAGGGTTACATTTAATTGTGGAGATTGTAGTTAATATTTTTCTCATCACTGAAGGAATTTTGATTTGGAAAATGTACCAGTTGTGTTTATTTGGTTCAATGCAGCACTTTGACAACTTTATTTTCAAATGACAACTCTGATGTTCAAAGGATAACACAAATTTTTGCTGTAATGGTATTGCGGTATATCTAAGAACATAAAGCAAGCTAAAGTGGGCTTCCAGATTTGGTGGCTTAGTAACCTGTTTACATGACATTTCTGTAGGACTACAGAGTGAACATTTTTTTGAGGCAGCAGTGGAATGATTCACGTCTGGCTTACAGCGAATATCCTGATGATTCCCTGGATTTGGATCCCTCTATGTTGGATTCTATTTGGAAGCCAGATTTATTCTTTGCCAATGAGAAGGGAGCAAATTTCCATGATGTTACAACAGACAACAAGCTGCTGAGGATTTCTAAAACTGGAAAGGTGTTGTACAGCATCAGGTAAACCAGTTAATTTTATTTTTTTTTCTCTTCATCCCTTTCTTTCCCTCCCTGTTTTTCTGGATGCAATGTAGATGTTTAATTTTTTGTTGTCCCGTGTGTACAACTAAAATGAGACTTAGTAATAGCAAGGTGGAAGGAAAATTTGCCTATGTTTCTTTGCTAACATTTTACTTTTTGCAAAATAGTCTCTAAGTGGCACAGTGGTACTTCTTGGTCTTGCTGAAAACTTGAGGCTGTCTAGAACTTTAATGGTATGCCCCAGTAATTCCCATTAGCATTAGCTCAAGTCACTCCTCTTGCAAAGAGGAAATCATCTCTTCAGTAGTCTGTAGGTTGCAATTTAAAAGTAAAGGAGAATATTAATTTAAATAACTGCTCAACACTTTAAGTAAAAACATGCTTGAAATGCAATAAATTTGACATGAAAGTCACTGGTTAATTGGATGTATCTAGTCACATTTAAAAAAAACCACCTGGAACTATGGAAAGCATTTGCTTTTTTTAGTACTAAGAGCACTGAAGTGTGTGTCATGTGACTAGCTTTAGCTGAATTAATAAACACTGACAAAATATGATTTGATATGACCTGATGAAACAGGACATAAGCAGAAAAACAAAATTGCATTCCACAGGCATAAATAGCAGCAAACAACCTGCTGTATTCATCTGACATTCAGCTTACTGTGAGACATTAATTGCTTAATAGAGGTAGCCAAAGATGCAAAATACTCTATTATTGCTCTTAGGATTGTTTAAAATGAAGTAATTACAGGAGTTTTTTTTCTTCCTGGGGATGGTTCTTGATTTTTTCCTTTCTTGCACTGTGGAAAGTAAACATGATAGTATTTGTTTAACAAGTTGTTTAGTGAATTTGCTCATCTGTAAAGCAGATTAGTTTAGAAGGCAGTTATTTCTGATGGGATATTGTGGTTTTGACTGCATTTTCATTAAGGAATTACTATTGATCCAGGCTTGGGATAGCTGTACTCTTTAGGATGTTAAATAAATAAATATTAGCATGGAACTTCATCCACTTACATAATTCTTGTGGAAATTCCTTGATAAGAGCCCAGTAATATTTGGACAGGTGAAGCAGGGTTACTGAGCAGGGTTTCAAATTGCTCTACCTGAAGGGTTTGAGAAAAATAATAGGATACAAGGATGGTACCAGCACTAGCAGAGTGATAAATATGCTGTCACTTACAAATATTTCCTGTTTCACCCTGAGAAAGAAATGAATGCATCTGTTTGTCTGAATGACATCAGACACCATCTTAACTGGAGGAAACAGTGCAGTTGGATGATGCTCTGGATGCAGATGGATAGTTTTCCTGACATTTGGTCATGCAGCAAAAGTGGTATTTTGAGCTGCCATATCACATTTGTAAAATTCCCACACTTAAATGAAAATTAATTTGAAGCAGAGTAAGGAGAATTCCAAGAGAACACTGAGCAAAGCTTTTCAGTTCTCACTTGTATCACACAGCAGTAACAGAGTAACCCGGCACATCGAAGGTGACATAGAATTTTTTAGCACTTTCTGGAGTACGGAAACTGGAAATCAGGAGCAATTAGAAATACTTGTCTTTACTCTCTAAATACTGGGCTAGATGCTTCTATTTGATGCCAGCTGCTTGTAGAAGAAACAAAGAATACTTTAGTGACTGGTTCCAGTACATTGGGAATGTTCACTACTGCACCAATAGCACTTTGCCTGCCATTGTGATATTTAACATTTAGCATTTAGTGTGCTTTAAGTGTTTAAAGCACTTCACAAATGCCTCTGGGATGTAGCAGGTAGGCTGTTTTGTCGTATTTTCACATTTAACAAAATCAAGATCAAATTAATACATAAATACAAATCTGTTCTTTGCATAAAGTTAGTTTCGAAGTGCTCCTGGTAATTAATGGGCAAGAAGCAAGGTGTGTGTATTATATGGCAGTGGTATCCCTCTTCCCCATATACTGCACCCAAAACATGAAAATACACCATGCAGGAGGCTGAACTGCCTTGTGCTGTTAGGTGCTCTCAGAGGCCAAACCTGCCCTTTCTGAGCAGAACTTGGAAAGTCATCTGAGACAAGAGTTCATGGTCCATATTTTGCTGAAATTAGACATTTGGTGCTCAGAAAAATCATGAAAAGGTGAGTGAGGTTCTGTGCCATGTATCACCTCCTCTGCAGTGCTTGGCTGTGGGAATTATCTCACCCTGTGGTAAGCATGAGGCTTTTCATCCTTCTCCTATATAGCTGGTCAAAGAAACAAGCCTAACACAGCACAGAAGAGGCATAATGCAGATTGCCATCAGAGTTTGCCTTATAATAATCATGATGCTCATACTTGCACATTCCTACAACTATATTTAATTCCTTGGGAGTTGTTACAGAAAATAAAAAGTTGTTGATGGTTGATGCACCCACCTCTGAATCATAACTTTAGGAAGCCTGATTTTTATATGTTTTCTGCATGCTCAGATGATTACCTTGATGCCTTTTTTGATCTCAGATAGCATGCTGTGTACAGCCTCAGGCTCTGTAGCTGGGTAACTGCTCTGCACCTTTGGGTGCTGCAGGGAAAACCAGAGCATTGTGGAGAGAACCCAGAACTACTTAGTACTGCAAATATATGCTATTGCCACTGGAGATGGAGCAACAGCTCTTAGAGACACCTGCATTTTGAGAAGTCTGCAATTACAGCAGTTATATTCAGCAAGGAAATTCACTTTAGTCAAGATCAGTCTCAGTTCCACTCATATAAAGCAATTGAAAAACTGTTAAATAGCTATAACTTTTATTTTAAAGCACTCTGTAGAGAGCAGTCAACAAGAAATTTGTAATAGCAGTGTTGAATAAATTAGTTTGTGTTTATATTGTGTGCTAAAAAACCAGTACGAGTTCAAATGATAACCTACACAGTTTCACCCCCTCGATACTTGTGACTCATCTGCTTCCAATCCTTGACTGATTTCTGCATGGATTGGATTTTGGAGGGGGTTCTGCCCTTGCAAAGTGTTGCAGCACGGTGTGATGGTACCAAGAGTCCTGTTGCAGGCACTCACATTCTGTATGACACCTGCATTTTGCATTGCACACCCCACTGCACGGGCTTTATGTTCCAGGGACAAGGATCGTGCCTTCTCTGCTCCCTGAGGACACCTGGGACATCAGGAAAATGCTAACTAAACTCACAGAAGGCTTTATATTCTCTCTGAGCCACCCATTTGTACTACCTGATTCCCACAAACTCATTTCAGGCTGCCAGCCAACTCAGAATATTAGCATCTGCCTAAAAGCTTATTTTAGCAAAATGATAGAAAGTGGTTTTATTTAAGGTTTGTGGCTTTTTTTTCTGCATTAATTGCCTCCTTCTCTTTTTAATATTTTCAGTGCATCTCAGCCATATGAGATTGATTCAGAAAGTGATATAATTCAACCGTAATATTGATCCACAGCATTGAATCTAGAATATATTGGTCAGGAATGTAAAATGTAAATGACATCGTAAAAAAAAAAAAAAAATTAAAAATATATATATATATATATATATATATAATTTTTTTAACTTTCTGCTCCAGAAAACACTCTCAGTTGAGCTTTGCTCTGAATTGTAGTGCCAGTGTATTTAGCCAGAAATAGTTACAAAGCAGATTACTACATATTTTTAAATATGAGAAGATTTTAGAATGTGTTGCATGATTTAACAAGAGAGACACTTGGAATTCTAGGGAGGAGATCTGTGAAAATTTGCAAATTACATTTCTTTTCCTATTTTTGCTATTCCTGTTCAAAGAGCAATTAATTACCTAGGAAGATTTTCCTCAAGTCTTTCAAAATACCTGTTTTTCTGTCTTTCCTTTTCTTCCCAGTGCCAGAACTGTTAGTTATGTAGACAATTAGTACCTTGTGGTTTCAACTATCGACCTAGTTTTAATTGTAAATGTTGCTGTGGCTGAGGGCAGAGTGCCTGTTTGAAAGCACTTCTGTGCTCTGGGGCACTGGAAACAGAGAAGGCTCAAGCTGTTGGATTGCTCAGTTTGTGAGGCTGTTCTGGGAATGCTTACCAGCCCTCCATTCCACAACAAGGAGCTGACAGGGCAGTAGGTACATCCCACCAGTGGGAGCTGGTACCTCCCCAAGCCCTCACCTGCTTATGCAAGCCAAGAGACCTCTCTGTGAAACAGTAAATCTATTCAAAACACTGCCTCCCATGCCAGCTGCCTTGCTCAGGAGTTCCCAAAATCAGCCCTTCCTGGTGTGGCCCAGCACTGAGGGACAGAGCATTGAGTCAACTCCCTCCTGCACCCCCACGACCCCACACAGGTCTAGGTGTTACATCAGGAGTTATGATTGCCATGTCCATCATGTAAATCATCAGATGTAATCCATGACACTTTTATAATCCAGATTTTCTGAGAGGAACTTCTGTGTTTTGTAGTTGCCTCTGTAGTCGTGTTCTTTGCCCACTGGCAAAGAAAAGCAGGTTAAGGAAATACATAGGTAGCACTGCTGATCCCTCTGCAACAGACTGCTGATGGCAAAAAGTTCACTATCCTTCTGAAATGTATTGCTTTTAAATAAGATACAGTCTGGGATTTTTTGCATGGCTACTATAGAATATGTTGTCGTGTTGCCGTAAAGCCAGGTGTAGGTTTTCTAAAACAATTTTGGGGTACAGACATTATCAGCTAAACAATATTGAGGATCCATTTACACCCATTGTGTGTAAATCATCCATGTCCCAGCACAGTCTGGCCTAGCACAGTGGTAGAAAATTTTATATTCTACAGCCCTGTGTGCATTCTGTGCTTTAATTTGATGATTTCAATTTTATTTTACAATCTAGTGTTGGGATTTAAGAGGATTTGGACTTGACTAGCATTGTCTTTCCATGTGACAGATTGGCAGAGGTGGGATCACGGAGACATTATGTCTGTTTGCTTATTAAACTGCCACCTCACACAAACATATCTATTACCCCAGGTCTTATCAGAATAACAC